CCATTTTTTAATTGGGTTATTTGTTTTTTTGTTGTAAAGTTGTTTGAGTTCCTTGTATATTCTGGATATTAATCCTTTGTCAGATGTATATTTTGCAAATATTTTCTCCCACTCTGTTGGTTGTTCTTTTACTCTGTTGATTGTTTCTTTTGCTGTGCAGAAGCTTTTTAGTTTGATATAATCCCATTTGTTTATTTTACCTTTAGCTGCCTGTGCTTTTGGGGTCCTATTCATGAATTCTGTACCTACTCCTCCTTCCTGGAGTGTTTCCCCTATGTTTTCTTTAAGGAGTTTTATTGTTTCAGGATGTATATTTAATTATTTAATCCATTTTGATTTGATTTTGGTATATGGTGACAGATATGGGTCTAGTTTCATTCTCCTACATATGAGTATCCAGTTTTCCCAGCACCATTTGTTGAAAAGGCAGTCTCTTCTCCAGTATGTAGACTTGCTGCCTTTGTCAAAGCTCAGATGGCTGTAGGTACATGGGTTAATTTCTGGGTTCTCTGTTCTGTTCCATTGATCTGTGTGTCTGTTTTTATGCTGGTACCATGCTGTTTTTGTTATTATAGTTTTGTAATATAGTTTAAAGTCAAGTAGTGTTATGCTACCAGCTTTATTTTTTTGCTCAGGATTGCTTTAGCTATGCATGGTCTTTTGTTGTTCCATATAAATGTCTGGATAGCTTTTTCCATCTCAGAGAAAAATGTCATTGGAATTTTGATGGGGATTGCATTGAATTTGTAGATCACTTCAGGTAATATGGACATTTTCACAATGTTAATTCTTCCAATCCAAGAGCATGGGATATCTTTCCATCTTCTTGTGTTCTCTTTAATTTCTCTCAACAGTGGCTTGTAGTTCTCTTCATAGAGATTTTTCACAACCTTGGTCAGCTTTATTCCTAAATATTTTATTTTTTTTGGTGGCTACTGTAAATGGACTAGCTTTCTTGATTTCTTTTTCTGCATGTTCACTAGTGGAGTATAGAAATGCTACTGATTTTTGTGTGTTGATTTTGTACCCTGCAACATTGCTGAAATTGTTTATCTATCAACTCTAGGAGTTTTTTTATAGAAGCTTTAGGCTGTTCAATATGTTGGATCATATCATCTGCAAAAAAGGGACAGCTTGACTTCATCCTTTCCAATCTGGATGCCCTTTATTTCCTTGTCTTCTCTGATTGCTCTGACTAGTACTTCCAACACTACATTGAATAAGAGTGGTGAGATTATTTACAATTTTTAAAGAGCTATTCATAGATGGGGTGAAAGGGGAGGGAACAAGTGGTTCCCATTCACAGAGCAATTCTTTTGAAATTGAAACTGGATTTCTCCCATGGATCAGTCAGTTTAAGGTGACTGTACATCTTTTAGAAGTTACATTGATCACCGAAACTAAAATATACTATTTTAATAGTTTTCAGTGGAAATTCTTCGCAACTACAGTATAACTATTGATTCACTGTCTTTTTTAACTTTTAGTTGCTGGCTGCGGGGAGAATATATTCATGTCCACTCACCCCAAATCATGGTCAGATGCAATTCAATATTTATACGATGAAGTTAAAGACTTTAAATATGGTTTTGGAAGTACTCGATCAGATGCTAAAACTGGACATTACACCCAGGTAAAAAAAAAATGACAAAAGCTTATTTTTTTGTCCTCTTTCATCCCAGAATTGCCTTTTCTCCTTGGTTTATCTTGAAGATGCCAAGCACACATCTGAGCTATGCAATTTGAGTTATGTGCATGAAAGCTGTCCTACTTTATAAAGTACATGTTACTAATTAATAGATATAAGCATAACCCATTATGTTTTGGATACCCACAAACACTCATATGCACATTGTGATTTTGGTTTACCACAATGGATTCTTTTAAATGAAATCTCTGGGAATAAAGTGATAGAATGACCTCAATTATATTTATGTAACATTAAATGATCTTTAAACAAAAGGAAACCTTGAGCTATTTTCTCTGAGCCAGTCACAGGATGAAATGCTAAAGGGAAAAATAATCATATTTTAAAATTTTTATTTCAAAGAGAAAAATAATAATAGATATTATTTTAAAGAGAAAAATAATCATATCAATGTATGATATTCTTATACATGCAAGGTTTTTTTATATTATTGAAAAAATAATTTTTTTGTATTTGTCATATAAAAACTAAAGAAAAGTTATATTGGGGAAAAGATTATCTGCACAAAAACATAGGTCAACAAGATTTCTTCTTGTTTTTCTCTGCAAAAATTGAATTACCTTTAGCTGAATTTTCTGTCTTTGCCCAATGTCCCATTGTCTACATCTTTATAAATTTTAAGGATAACTTGTTGTTATTACAAATGTATCATGAATGTATAAAGCTTCCTTTATATGTTGAAAATATATTTAATAAAAATAATCATCATGTTTAGATGGAAATGTTAAAAATATGAAACTGATTTTTTTTTAGCTTTTTAAATTCCTTTCATTGATAACTTTTATTAAGCAAATAAGAGACAAAAACTACGCAGTTTGAACACTATAAATTTAATTGAAATTACTTTAAACTTTTCATTTGCAGCTTGTTTGGGCCACTTCCCACCAACTTGGCTGTGCATTAGCCCACTGTCCTCATGAGATCTTAAAGTATTACTATGTCTGCCAATATTGCCCCAGGTAAGTACAACACCAGGCATCATTTTCAGCATATGTTAGGCCAAGTGACCTGCACCTTGGGCTATGATCCAACCCCCCTCATCAATATGAGGTTATAGGGTGACTTCATTAAGGGCTTTGAGGATGGGTTTGGAAGAATGAGAAGAACAGAGAAAGAAAACAGCACACAGTGCATTCTAAGGGATATTAAATTCATGGGGCTATCAATCACCTGGTGGACAGAGCATGTGCTCTATAATCCTTCAGGCTCAAGTACAAAGTTGACTTTGTCACTTACCAGTTGTATAGTCTTCAGTTCACCAATAACTTAATCACTTGAAGCTCCTTTCTACTTATAAATAAAGAGGCAGTAGCAATATATTTCTTGCAGAGATTTTGTGAGGATTAAATATAATAAGTGAAGTTTAGTGCCCAGCATAGTTCATGGCACATAACAGATTCTCAATGAACACAAATTCATTGAATTAGGAAGTAAAAAATATTCTGTGAGATACCAGTCCCAAAAATTCTTAGGAGACTCACTACAAACTTGTCCTCTGGTTGCATGTCTTTTGTATACCATAAAGGTAGTAGAACACCATCTCCTTTCTTCCATATATGTTTGAATACCACCAATTTACCTTGAAATTTTCTTTATGTCTCCAAACTTCAGAAATCTTTCTCTCCGTTTTGTGAGCTTCTGTGACTCTTGCTGTATGTTCCACTCACATGGCACCATCTCATATTCATTAATGTTGTCACTAATCCTTTCCTTCATATATTCCATTGCCAGTGGAAACATTGTGAACATCATGAAGACCCCATATAAAAAAGGAAAGCCATGTGGAGACTGCCCTCATCATTGTGATAATGGGCTTTGCAGTAAGTAATAGCCGTTCTGTGTCTTTACGTACATGGACACTAACTCTACTGTGGAAGACAAGCTGAAACTGTCCTGATATATATACATTCCCACTGTGCTTCTGAGCCTTCCTTTTCCTACATCAGTCTTTCTGCTCTTGGCAAAAAAAACAGAACTAAAAACAAAGTGGTAAGTTCAGCTGCCATTTACGGATGGTGATGACTAAAATAAGGTAGATATTGAGGTAGTCATGCAAAGCAAAATTAAGATCAGTCTTTCTGCTCTTGGCAAAAAAAACAGAACTAAAAACAAAGTGGTAAGTTCAGCTGCCAGTTACGGATGGTGATGACTAAAATAAGGTAGATATTGAGGTAGTCATGCAAAGCAAAATTAAGCCAAGCCAAAGTGGAGATGAAATTTCCTTTTGTTTCCTTGTGTCCCTCTTTTATTGATTTTTTTTTCTCAGTTAGAAAGGGAAAAGGCAAATTATAGAAACTAACTGACTATACAATCTTGGAAAGGGTCAGGCTCAATTTACTCCTGCCCTTAAATAAAAGCCAGTGAATATATGAAAAAGAAACTTGGTGCTGTTCTCCCCAGTATACCTATCCCTCCTATCCCTCCTCCCTTACACACACACACACACACACACACACACACACACACACACACACACACACACACACACTGACAACTACATCACTTGATTTCTCCCTAATAATGGCATGTCATGGGAAACAACTTTGGGCTATTTTAAGCACATATGTTGAAGGTTCCAGCAACTCTTCTATTAATCCCCAGACACTACATACACATATAAATACATACACCAGAATTACTGCTAGTATAGGGTACCATTTCTCTATATGGTTACAACTCTGCACCACAGTACAGTTTATTGAATGGAGTGTGAGCTGGATTTATGTTCCCTGTTTGCTCCTCTTCCCCCTTGTATGATCCATTCATTCTACAAGTACAGAAGGGTACTTAATAAATTTCATGGAAAGATTAATATTCTTTCAATTCTATTTTTCCACAAAGTTTTCAAAGTACCTTCTTATAAGACAGCACGTATACATACATATACACACTGGACAAAATAAGTTATGCATGAAATGTATTGAGAATTAAGTTTATTTCTGTTATCGAATGCCTTATTGGAACAGGGTGTGGAAATTTATTTGATTTTATAAAGCTCTGTGTTGTGAGAACTCTATGTCTGCTATACCAGGTATGTATATTAAACCTTAACAGCTCTGTTCTGGTCTTCCTTGAGATAATATGGTTTTGGATAACTAATAATTTAATCCAAGAAGCAGCATTTTATTTGCCTCTTGTTTTATTTTAGCCAATCCCTGCATGTATGTGGATAAGTACTCAAATTGTGCTGAATTGGTCAAACTACAAAAGTGTGAGGGAAAAATCATGAAAGAAAACTGCCAAGCTACCTGCAAATGCCCTTCAGAAATAAAATAAAGCATCTGTTAATGGTGATGTTTCTTCTCAAGAGCAAAGTGACTTCCCTTAGAACAAATCACTGCAAAATTTCATCGTCATCTTTTAAATGATTACACGAGTTTTGAAAAGTCTTTTATTGAATACATCCTAACACCTTTATCAATTAGATTTGATAATATCTGAATAAAGAAAAGTAGGCAATGAAAACAGTAAATTCAATAACTGTGAACAACAGATAAAAATGTAATGCTGAATCTAATAGTATTTAGTTATCATGATTGGTAACATGTACTTAAAGCCCTTGTATAACTATTATGAATAAATGTGTTCAAAACTTTTAAAACAGAAGGCTCTAAATCCTTTCCTTCACGAAGGCATTAAAAATACATTGGTATGCAGCTGAATAGCTCTGTTCTGGGTGATGTGTATAATCCTAAGATGAGTCAGGAAGATGCTGCAATGAAATAGGGTTTCCTGATCTCAATGATATTTAAAAATGTATACATCTCTAAGTTTGTTGGAAGAAATGTGAAAGAAGTTGCATAGCAGTGATTCACAGACACTTTCCCAGACACAGCAATTCACAGATTTGGCTCATCAGTTGAGGGGAAGGCCATATCCCTAGAGAAAGGGCCCTAAACACAGTCATAGATATATTCTCTAAACCATTCTTCAAGCCTTACACAGAGGAAACTATCAGTGACAGACACTGGGAAGTGGGAGAAAAATGTGTGGTTTATTAGATACTCACTTTAATGTTAATCTCTGAAGACCTGAACTACCACCATAGAACATGGGTCAGAATGGAATTTACGAAGGTCAAGACAATGGAGTCTTGACCCAGTGCATCTCAGATTAGCTCCAGTAGGACTGCAGACTGATCCTTTGATTAATTCTCCAGTTCCAAACTATACAATAGAAATAAATATACTTAGGAATTCTCAGAATCCCTACGTTGGTTTTTTGACTTGAAGATTAAGAGTTATCATTGTAGAAAGGGCCAAGTGGAAGCCCCTGGTACGACCCATTCACCCTTAGTGAGATAACACATCAAAAATAAGTTCACATGCCTTGGGTATTTCAACATTTGTATTAGATAACCAAGACATAAAAATTTCAGGGGTGGTAATTGTGACAACAGCCCTGTTTAACTTGCACATTTTACTAGTGAAAAAAGATGGTTTATGGATAATAACTATAGACTATCACAAACAATCACATGGTGATACCACTCACAACTGTGGTTCTAGATATCATATCTTTATTAGAAGAAATCAATATACATCCTAGCACCAGTAATGTATCTATTGACTTAGCATTACTTTTATTCTATTTTATCCTGCAAAGAAAATCAGAGGCTGTTTGTCTTTCTATAGCTAGCAAAATAGTATACCCTTGCTATGGAGTCTGCCCTCCCCCACAGTGCTTCGGCTAGCATCACCTTTCACAGATTTATATAATACCTGATTTATTCATATATTCATATATTGTACCACACTATTGTCTTAATAGCTTTAATGAAAATAATAAAGTTCTGTGCATATTAGTGGTGGTATAGAGATTAATATAATGAATACTCGTACATTCACCTGCCAGCTTGAGAAAAAGAATATTATGGAGATGAAATTCTCTGTAAACCTCCCTTATTCTTCCTGCCTCTGTTTTGAATTGTTGCTTATCATGCACAAGAACATCAATGTACGTTTTCCATATACCTATAACTTGCCTTTTTATCCCAATATTATATTTTGGAGCTTATTTGTTCTGATATTGTCAGGCTTTTCACATTCTTTTGTATAAGCATTGAATTGTATCCCCCAACACAATGTATTTATTCATTCTCCTACTCATGACGATTTAGGTTGTCATCAATTTTTCACTATTACAAAGTGTTACGATAAACATTTTTGTACATGTCCTTATAAACATGTACAGGCATTCTCTCAGACTAAAATTGCTGGGTCAAAAATAATTTGCATTTTCATCGTTACTGGAAATTGCCTAATTATTTTCCAAACTAGCAGGACCAGTTTACACTCCCAACAGCAGGGAAAAGGATTTCCAGTTTCTCCATATCCTTGAAACACTTGCTTTTATTACATCTTTTTAAATTTGTGGATATGATACCCTATTTTTGGTTTAATATTCTATTCCTTTAATTATTAATGAGGTTACAAATCTTTTCATATGTTACTTGGCCTTTTCACAATTCCTCTTTGTTGTACTGCCTGTTCTCACTGTCTGTGTCTATTTTATGTCTGGTGGCAGTGTGTATGTGTCGGGGGGAGGAGAGTGTTTATTTTTTCTTAATACATACAGTTAGGAGTTATTTATATATTCTGGATAATAATTCTTTGCAAGTTATATGCTTTTAAAATATTTTCTCCCTGTGTCTGGCTTACTTTTTTCAGTTTTTTAATGGTGGCTTTTGGTACAAAGAACTTAAAATTTTGCCATAATCAAATTTATTGATTTTTTTCCTTTTTTTTTTTTTCCTTTTTGTGTTTCTTTAAAAACCCTCTTTTACTTTAATTTTGTAAGACATTCTCCTATTTTCTTTTAAAAGTACTGAAAGTTTTACTTTTCATAGAAAGCAGATATTGGTAGTTTTTTTCAGTTTCATGATGATGTGCCTTAGTGGAGCTCTTTTAGGCACTGAGTGGAACTTCTTAACTTGAACACACTCTTCAATTCTGGGAAATTTAAAAACTTATTTCTTTGAAAATTTCCTGTCCTTGTTTTCTTTGTCCTTTCTCCAAATATTCAAATGTTAGACCCCTTGATTGTTCCTCTTATTTTCTTTACTCTTTCTCCTTTGTTGTCAAGAGGGTTCTTCAACTTTATCTTCTAAACCTTCTGTTGAATTTTTAAATGTCTGCAATCAATTTTTTTTTAACTTCTAAAATCGTTTTGTTCTCTCAGTACAGATGCGCCTCGACTTATGATGGAGTTATGTTCTAAAAAACGCATCATAAGTTGAAAATATCTTAAGTTGAAAATGCATTTAACACACCTAACCTACAGAACAGCTGAGCTCAGCCTAGCCTACCTTAAACATGCTTAGAACACTTACGTTAGCCTAGAGTTGGGCAAAATCATCTACCGCAAAGCCTATTTTATAATGAAGTATTGACTATCTCATGTCATTTATTGAGCATTGTACTAGTACTATTGAATGTGTCTTGCTTTCGCACCATTGTAAAGTCTAAAAATCCTAAGTTGAATCATCATAAGTCAGGGACCATCTGTATTCTTTTCAGTATCCTGATCTTTTTTTTTTTTTTCCTTTTTTGTCTTTTTTCGTGACCGGCAACGGATCGCAACCCTCGGTGCTGCACCCGC